TGTCGGCCTGCAGACTGAAAAGTACCAGGTTCAATTCCAGGCAAGGACATGTACCTTGGTTGTGGGCACATCTCCAGTAGGGGGTGTGCAGGAGGCAGCTGATAGAGAATCTCAGCTCTCTCATCAATGTTTCTAACTCTCTACCTCTCTGTAAAAAATCAATAAAATATATTTTAAAAAATATAACCCATAACACCGCCAAGGTTTCCTCTTTATAATTTATTTTCCATTTTGAAATATCAGTTCATCTTAATTAAATAAATTTTGGGGAAAATCTATATATATAAAAGCCTAAGCAATGGTTAGTATAGAACGACTGGAATTACAGGTAGCTACAGATATGCATTGACCACCAAAAGGCAGATCTGGGATTGGTAAGTATATGTGCCAGGTGAGAAAAGGCAGATCATACACAGGAACTGCTCCCTGGTGGTCAGTGCACTGCCACAGCGAGAGCACTCCTCAGCCAGAAGCTGGGCTCACAGCCAGTGAGCACAGTGGCATTGTCTCCTGCCTCTGCAGCAGTACTAAGGAGCAAGCAGTGAGTGGCTAGGAATGAGCGACAAGTGGTTAGGAGCACCGAGCCCTGCTTGGGTTTGGCCGCTTTGAGCACTGCTATAGCCCTTGGGGGATGTTGGACTGCTGGTTTCAGCCTCATCCCCCCCGGAATCGGCAGTCCGACATCCCCTGAGGGGGTCCTAGATTGCGACCCCCCCAGGATGAGGGACCCCAGCAGGTGCACAAATTCATGCATTGGGCCTCTAGTTGGTTAATAACATGTTTAACATATACAATTTTATAATATATCTGTATACTCTATATGTGCTCACCTTCCAAAGTCTAATCTCCTTCCATCAACTTGTACCCTTTCTTCTCCCCACCCTCATGTTAATTTAATAAAAATGTGATTGTTACCGATACTACCCCAACCCTACCCTAGCCTTCCTTAAGAGGACCTACAGCCAAGCACTAAAAATGCAAGAAGGCTATTCCGAAATCGGTTTGGCTCAGTGGATAGAGTGTCGGCCTGCGGATTGAAGGGTCCCGGGTTCGATTCCTGTCAAGGGCATGTATATTGGCAGCTAGTCGATGTCTCTCTCTCTCTCATCGATATTTCTAGCTTTCTATCTCTCTCCCTTCCTCTCTGTAAAAACTCAATAAAATATATATTTTAAAAAATGCAAAAAGGCTATGTTTGAACATATGGATCTAATAGACTAATAAAAGAGTAATATGCAAATTGACCATTATTCCAACACACAAGATGGCTGCCCCCTGTGGATACAAGATGGTCACCACAAGATGGCCTACAGGGGAGGGCAGTTGTGGGCAATCAGGTCAGCATCGGAGGGCAGTTAGGGGCGACTAGGCCATCAGATGAAAGCAGGGGTAATCAGGCCGGCAGGGGACCAGTTAGGTGGTCAGGAAGGCAGGCAGGTGAGCAATTGGGAGCCGGCAGTCCTGGATTGTGAGAGAGATGTCTGACTGTCCCTAAACGGACAGTCGGACATCCCTTGAGAGGTCCCAGATTGCAGAAGATACTGTCTGAGGGACGCCCTCCTCCCCCAATGCACGAATTTTGTGCACGGGGCCTCTAGTACACACACACACACACACACACACACACACACACACTAATCATAATTTCAGCTATGTCATATTTTGATAGTGAGAGTAGAAGAAAGTCATTCACAATAGTTTCTGGCATGTGGTAAGGACACAATAAATGTGAAATTATTTCAGTGTATGTATGTACTATAATTTTTTTTTTTTTACAGAATTTCCTATTGATAAGCCATTATTTTATTTCATTCTTTTGCTATTACAATCTATTTTGCATCTCTAAGATCTGTTTGAGCAGGATGACAATATCACACTTGATTTCCTTGATTTGAGCCTGTATAGACTAGCCTTTTTACTCTGATTATTCTAAGATTTACCTCTTAGAGCAAATCCAGCCAGCTGCCTTGCACTTGGTTTTGTTATCCACATCTCTGCTCAGCAACTTCCAAACATTGTCCTGTGAGAACTGTAAAAGGCAACGGTTCTGAGAACTGTTCCCTTACACAACCACAGGCCCTTACATACAACTGTGCCTCTAAAAACCTGAGTTTTCTGTTCAGGGTTCACTCTGTTAAACTTCTTCCTTTATTAATTCTCCCTGTACTAGGAGTAAGAATGTCTGGGTTTAGGTTTTAGCTCAATACAAATTAATTATAATAGCTGTGTGATTTTGGATAAATCACTGGCCCTTGGTGTACTGAAGGTTACTGGATAAAACATCCTCTTCTGTGTCTACTCGGTCCCGCCATTTGTACTACTCAGGTCCCGCCATTTCTTCCTCCAGCTTAGTCCTACAGCCATCTCTACCTGCTCAGGAAGAAAAACTATGCAATAATTTTCACACATAAGTGTACCTGTGTACTTCAAACCCATTTTGTTCAAGGGTCAACTGTATTTGTTACTTTAAAAAAATTTTTTTTGAAAAGGTTATACATCTACATGGAAAACTTACACATACACAATGCTGTTAGAAACCAAGATAGTGATTACTCTTGAGGAGAGTAGTTACTTGGGGGTAGTGACTAATAAGGGCTTTGGCAAGTTGGGAATGCTTTAATTTCTTGATCTGTGTGTTGGTTACATGGGTATGTTGAGTTTATGAAAGTACAAACATTTTCACTTTTTGTGTATGAGTACTTAAAAAAGTTTTTTTTTAATATATATATTTTATTGATTTTTTACAGAAAGGAAGGGAGAGAGATAGGGAGTTAGAAACATCGATGAGAGAGAAACATCGACCAGCTGCCTCCTGCACCCCCCCCACCGGGGATGTGCATGCAACCAATGTACATGCCCCTGACCGGAATTGAACCCGTGACCCTTCAGTCCGCAGACGGATGCTCTATCCACTGAGCCAAACCAGCTTCGGCTAAAAAGGTTTTTTTTTTAAAAAAACTCAAAATGTACAAAAGACGTATAGGGAAAAGTCTCCCAATCCCTTCTGTTTATGACTCCTGGTTCCGCTCCTGAGAAACAACCACTGTTACCTTTCTTGTGTGTCCTCCCAAATCTTTTGTAATCCTACATAATAAACCCTAATATGCAAATCAACCAGAAAGCCTGGACGCTCAACACAAGAGCTGCCCCCCTGGTGGTCAGTGTGCTCCCACAGGAGGAGCATCGCTCAGCCAGAAGCCAGGCTCAAGGCTGGTGAGTGCATGGGGCCTGGGGCCTCCGTGGCAGTGCTAAGGAGCAGCCAGCCCAGTGGTAAGGAGCAGCAAGCAGGTGGGTGTAAGTCCCAGACTGCAAGAGAGAGGGATGTCCCACTGCCCCATTAAGCCCACAGGTGGACATCCCCCAGGGTTCCAGGACTGCAAGAGGGCGCAGACTGGGCTAAGGATCAGGCTCCTCCCCAGTGCATGAATGTTGTGCATTGAGCCTCTAGTGTCTAAATAAGTTTACAAATGTATGTTCATTTTTTTTTCTTTATACATGTGACAGCATAAAATGCATACTTGAGTCTTGATTTTTTCAATAGCTTAGAAATAATTACAAATTTTAACATGTGGAAGTAACCCCAGGGCCTGGTATATAAATATTCTTTTTTTTTTTTTTAATATTTTATTGATTTTGTACAGAGAGGAAGAGAGAGGGATAGAGAGTTAGAAACATCGATGAGAGAGAGTCATCGATCAGTTGCCACTTGCACACCCCCTACTGGGGATATGCCCGCAACCAAGGTACATGCCCTTGACCGGAACGAACCCGGGACCCTTCAGTCCCCAAGCCGACGCTCTATCCATTGAGCCAAACCGGTTTCGGCTATAAATATTCTTGTTAAATAGACATTGTCTTCCAGAGGAGCACCTGCTTGTAATAATGAAACTCCTGTAAGTGGTTAAGAAGTCAACCCAGAGCCAGCCTTCCTGATGCAAAGGGTAAAATAACATCCTCGAGTACCAGGGGGTTCTTTTTTAACTAAGAGCAGGCACCAGAAGTTCCTGCTGCAATGATGCAGAAATGAGTGAAGTCAGAGGCTGTTTTTAAAGTCCTGGAAGGAACTTCCTCAGCGGTCTGAAGACCCTCCGCTGGGCTTCAACCCTTTTATATTATTTATTTTTGGCCTAGAATGACTCAGAAACAGCGGAGCCAGCCTTTCCTGTGACTCGGAACTGGCCCAGGCCGCGCAGTAAGATGCCCCCAATAGTGGTGCCGCCTGCGGGGAAATCAGAGGCTTGTAGAAGCTGCCGTGTTCTGGATGCGGTTTCGGAGCCCGGGCTGTGGTTGGAGGTACTAACGTTGGCTCCGTGGGCGATGGATTCCGGGATGCCGTGGCAAAGCGAGGGCCGGGGCGGGGCTGGTCGGAGGTTCGCCCCTCGAGCAGCCGGGACGCGGCGGCCTTCTCCAGGGGCCTCCAGGCCGCCGGCGGGGCAGGCGCCTTCCTCCCTGGGTCCCCCGGCGGGTCACCGCGGAGCACCTCTCCCTCCTGCAGGGAACTTAGCCCAGAGAACGCGCACTCCGCCTTCCGCCCTCCTCTCCGCCCCGCTCCCGCAGGCACCCGCCCTCCTCTCTGCCGCCCCCTCCCGCCCGCCCAGCGCGCCGCCGCCCCTGAATGAACGGAACGCGGTTTCTCAATGGAGCGGCGGGGGGGCTCGCGCGGCCGCGGGGGCGGCGGGACGGGAGGGAGGCGCGGCTTTCCGTCTCTCCGCTCGGCCTCGGCCGCGGCCTGAGGCGCTGCGGCGGCGGGCGGGTGGCCGGACCGCAGCCCAGGGCCCGGCGCGCTCGGCGGAGAGGCCCGGCCGGGTCTGCATTTCCTCCTCTCCCCTCCCGGGCGGCCGGCTCTCCGCGGCAGCGTTCCGGGAGGAGAGCACACAGGTCTCCGCCCCGAGGACGGGACGCCGGGAGCCTTCGGCGAGGAGCCCGCGGCGCCGGGCGCGGCATGTCCGGGCCGGCCCCGCGCTGCTGAGCCGCGGCGCCCGGAGCGGGCTGGCGGCGGGATGGAGCCCGCGACCGCGCCCCAGGCCGACATGGCGCCGGAGCTGACCCCGGAGGAGGAGCAGGTAAGCGGCCGGGGGTGGGCCTGCCGGAGCCCGGGAAGCCCGCGCCCCAGACCCCGCCGCCCTCCCCGAAGCCCCCGGCCCCGGCCCCGTGCAGAGCCCCTTGCCTCCGCTCGCTCCGCGGCTCCTGCGCCGGCGGCTCCGGGCGGCCAGGCCGCGGCGGGCGCCTGCGGGCCGCGCTCCCGGGGTCGGGCCTCGGATCCCGCGAGCCTGGCCGGCAGCGCCTGGCCGCCGCGGGCGCGTTCTGAAGGCCGGCTGCCCACGCCCTGGAAGTCCGGGCCTGGCCCTTCCTGCTCCGCACGCCCACTTCCCTGCCCCGCGATTCCGGTCTCCATCTTCCGGAGCCCCATTGTCCTCCGCCGCGCCCGGCTCCTGGGGGAAGTGGTGCGCGGTGTCATTTTGAGGGCGTGGGTGAGGGGCAGCCGGCCTCTCAGCCCTCTCTCGGTTTTGCGGGACAGACAGGGACCACACCTTCTGAGAAGATGGGCTCCTCCAGATTTCCCCTGCCTCTTCCGTGGCGTTACCCGCACCGGCCTAGCCATGCCCAGATAGAGCCATATGGTCTGGTTCCATGTTTTAGGAAAACATGGAATTTCCTCATCTGAGATAAGATGGTCACCCGTTTCAAACTCTCCAGCCCTTGTTCCCGAGAACCACACTTGATAGTACAGTTTCTAGTATGGAGACAATCTGGTTCTACAAACCAAAATTGGTTAATGGGCTTATTTACTACTTGATTGTTTAAAAACCCGTTTCTCCTCACTTGTGGAGATAACATTTTTCATATTTAGCCTCAGACCACAGTCTTTCCTTTTGGAGTTTTGAGATAAAATCAGCACCGGGGAAAAAGAATTCTGCTGCTTTGTACAAGGCATGGTAACATTCTGGTAACCGCAATTAAGCATTAATAAAATGCTAGTCAGGGCTTAGTGCAAACAGGAGGCCAAGGAGTCAATCCTGCCAGAATCAGAAATACACTTTAGTACTAAGGTATGTGTTAGATTGATTTTAAAGGGACAAAACTTTTCCATTCACTTCTTTTTTTTAATTACTCAGATTTGAAGTTTTTATGTTTCTAAGACTTAATGGCATCAGTATTTCACTATGAAGATGGCATTAGATTGCAAATTTAAAAATTAAAACCAAGGAAAGCAAATATTAAAGTATTGATAAAGTGGTTTAGTAAAAACCGTTTATATCCAATGAATGTGATAGCTATTAGCAAGGACTGGGTGGAAACAACTTGTTTTCTACTGGCATTTCAAAATGTTGAGACAAACATATAAGTAGCATAGTTTTAAGTATTATAGTTCCAACTATTGCAATACTGGTAAAATTTTACATTTTACTTTAATATCATGGAAGAGTACTCTTAACTGTAAAGATGTCTTTAAAGTATTTAAATTAAACTGCAAATGAGTGTAGTTTTATAATAGTAGTCCCCATAGGAAGTAACATTTATTCCAAAATGCTAGTCCATTGCTCTAACCAATTTTAGAACTCATTTAGAATTTATTTCAAAGCTGTGGTGGAATCTTTGAAGTATTTTCAATGTTGGAAAAATCTTGTACTTTTGAGAGGCAATTTGATTTTTGGAAAGAGTAAAAAATCTTTTGGAATACTATTTCAAAAATAAAGTAGGTGGTCAAACTTGGTTAAGGCAAAACTGAAATACATTTAGGCCCTTTTTTTGGGTGTGGAAATTGCTTTACAGGTGTTTCTGGAGCAGATCCCTCTGAATGGTATCTACCTCTCATACAGTCATATGAATCAGAAACCCAGAAATATTCATGGACACTACTCTCTCACAGCCCATGTATATTATATATACATAGTGAATTTTCATGCACTGGAGTGGGGACCCTCAGCCTGGCCTGCCCCCTCTCACAGTCTGGGAGCCTCAGGTTCAGGAGGCAATCTGGCGATCAGGGGAAGGCAACACCCCATCACACCTCTGCTGCTGCCACTGCCAGCAGTGCAAGCCTTGTCTGGCCTTAGTTATCTGCACGTTGGGCTGGCCCTGGGCAGTTGGGAGGCTGAGTGGACTGGGCGCCACCATCCTGTGGCTGTGGGTGTCACCATATTTGAGGGTGGGGCTGTCAATTAGCATATCCCCTCCTTATTGGCTGTGGGTGCTGCCATCTTTGCAATGGCATGAGGGTCAATTAGCATATTCCCTCTTTATTATATAGGACTAGAGGCCTGATGCACAGAATCTGTGCACTGTGGGGGGGCATGGCCTGCAGGGATCAGTTCGCTGTAGGAATGCTGCTCATCCCGATCAGCTGAGTGGCTGTGGACCTGCTCTCTGAGTGGCTGCTCCCGAGTGGCGCTTCCACTGTGGGAACACACTGACTAGCAGGGGACAGCTCCTGCGTTGAGCTTTTACCCTGGTGCATCATAGTAACTGGTCGATTGGTCATTCTGCCATTTGATTGCTTGGCTTTTATTATTTGGGATCATTAGGTTTTCTGAATATCTCTTGAATTGTTTAATTTCTTCACCTCCACCTTTACCACCCAAGTCTCCAAGTTACTTCATATTCTGACAGAATTTCTCTTTCCGACCTGACCTATCTGCATTTTTTTATCTCTTATTCCCGAAGCCAAAGGCAAACTGCATATCTGGTTGCATCTTCCTTTTAGCCTACCTGTCTCCCAAATAAGCATTTATAAAAAACCATTCAGTGACTTTTTCATTGTTCTTGGGGTCATTACAACTCTTGAATATGATCTGCAAAGCCTCAGCCTTTGAGTGGTCTAAAAGCCTAGCTAATTCTCACACCTCATCTTTGCTCCAGGCACACTGGCCTTTTGATCCCGCCTCTTGCCCATTCCTGCTTTCCTCTGTCTGGAAATACCCTCCACTGCTACTCCCACTTCATCCTTTAACTCTCAGATTTCACTTTCTCTGGAAAGCCTTCCTGGATGTCCCTAGTTAGGTGACATTTCTGTTACTGGCTCTCAGAGTAATATGTACTGTCCTTTATATCACTTACCACAAGTTTACATTCTGTGCTATTGCATGACCAGAAGCTCTGTGAGGATTGGAACTGTGTCTGCTTTTGCTTGCCATAATGGACTTTCAAAAAATACTTGTGGGATGAGTTAAAGTAATCCTGTATGTGACTTATACACAGATAGCACTCATCTCCTTTAGAATGGCTTATGAAAATAAGGACATTGTTTATTTTGATATGTGTTGAAGGTCATTTTTATTACTTTCCTAGTGGCCTGGTGCATGAATTTGTGCACATTGAAAGGAAATTAATTAGAAGAAAGATTTGTGTGTTAATTACATTACTGCAAAAAATTACATGTCAAAATAGTATATGTAGCCTTAGCTGGTATGGCTCAGTGGATAGCCTGTAGACTAAAAAGGCCAGGGTTCGATTCTGGTCAAGGGCACATGCCCGGATTACAGGTTGAATTCCCAGTAGGGGTCATGCAAGAGACAGCCAATCAATGATTGTCTCTCATCATTGATGTTTCTCTTTACTTCCTCTATATCAATAAAAAATTTTTTTTAAATAGTATGTGTAATATTTATATATATAAAAGGCTAAGTGACCATCTGACTGCTCGCTACCTATGATGCATACTGACCACCAGGGGGCAGTCACTCAAAGCAGGAGCTGCCAAGCTCCTTGGGGGATGTCAAAGAGCTGGTTTTGGCCAGATTCCTGTAGGCCAGGCCAAAAGACTTCACCTCACTCCGCAGAAACCTTTCATGCTGCAGTGCCACCCCAGGTGCAGCCGACTAGAGAAGGATCACAGGAGGTTGGCTCCAGAGGTCTGGCCCGACTAGCCCAGTCCTGCCCTGCCAGCTACCTTCTAATTAATTTCCTTTCTTTGTGCACAAATCCGTCTACTGGGCCACTAGTAGTAGTATTATAAAATTAAAACACTCATGTGATTGGCATCAACCAGAGCTTTATATGTATCACTCATGCACGAGTCAATGTTTATTTTTAAAATAGAGGCCTAGTGCACAGATTTCTGTACAGTGGGGTCCCCCGGCCTGGCCTGTGGGGAATCAGTGGACCTTTGCGCCACCACAGCCAGCCTTAACTGACAGCTCATGGGGCTCCAGCCTGCTGTTCGCATTGATCCCACACAGCACAAAGTAGTGTGCAAAGCGGCAGGTGGCCAGAGAGGAGCCCAAGCCTGGCTGGGTGTTGCACCGCGCCCACTCATCCTGGCCCTGCTGCTCCTGCCGCCACCAGTCAGGCACGGCAGGGGGGAGTGTCTGTGGAAGAGGCTTGCGTCTCCACAGCTGTGCTTGCCAGCCACCAGCCTGGTGTCTGGCGCCCACCCATATGTCAGCTGAGTGGCGCTCCTGCTGTGGAGGCTCACTGACCACCAGGGGACAGCTCCTGTGTTGAGTGTCTGCCCCCTGGTGCTCAGTTTATGTCATAGCTACCAAGCAGTGGTCTGGTTGACTGGTCGTCCGGTCATCCGGTTGCTTAGGTTTTTATATATAGAGACTAGAGGCCTGGTGCACAAAATTCGTGCTTGGGGGTATGTGTCCCTCAGCCCAGCCTGCACCCTCTCCAATCTGGGACCCCTCAAGAGATGTCTGACTGCACATTTAGGCCCGATCCCAATGGGTTTGGACCTAAATGGGTAGTTGGACATCCCTCTCACAATCCAGGACTGCTGGCTCGAAACTGCTTGCCTGCCTACCTTCCTGATTGCCCCTAACCGCTTCTGCCTGCCAGCCTGTTTGCCCCCAACTTCCCTCCTCTGCTGGCCTGGTCCCTCCCAACTGCCCTCCCCTGCTGGCGTCTTGTGGTGGCCATCTTGTGTCCACATGGGAGCAGGATCTTTGACCACATGGGGGCAGTTATCTTGTGTGTTGGAGTGATGGCCAATCTGCATATTACTCTTTTATTAGATAGGATAGAGGTCTGGTGCATGGGTGGGGGCCAGCTGGTTTGCCCTGAAGGGTGCCCCAGATAAGGGTGGGGGTTCCCTTGGGGCATGGGGTGGCCTGGGCCAGGG